TCTTTATAAGTAGTGTCATGCCAATTGAGCTAGATGTTCTCAAGGGGAATACTTTCAAAGTCTCTTCATTTAGGATGATGTTGGCTATTGGCTTTGTATAAATGCCCTTAATTATGTTGAGGAATTTCCCTTCTATTCCTATTTTATTGAGAGTTTTTATCATGAATGGGTGTTGGACTTTGTCAAATGCCTTTTCTGCATCGATTGATAGGATCATGTGGTTCTTTTGTTTTATTTATGTGATGGATTACATTGATTGTTTTTCTAATGTTCAACCGTCGCTGGCATACCTGGTATGAATCCCACTTGATCCTGGTGAACTATTTTTTTGATATGTTGCTGAATTCTATTGGCTAGAATTTTGTTGAGGACTTTTGTGTCAGTGTTCATGAGGGATATTGGTCTGTAATTTTCTTTTTTTGTGGTGTCTTTACCAGGTTTTGGTATCATGGTTACGCTGGCTTCATAGAATGAGTTTGGGAGAATTCCATCCTTTTCTACGATCTGAAATACCTTTAGTAGTAGCGGTGTTAACTCTTCTCTGAAGTTTGGTAGAATTCTCCAGTGAAGCCGTCTGGACCAGGCCTTTTTTTTTGTTGGGAGTTTCTTAATTGCCTTTTCAATCTCTTCTTTTGTTATGGGTTTATATAGTTGTTCTACCTCTGTTTGTGTTAGTTTAGGTAGGTAGTGAGTTTCTAGAAATTTGTCCATTTCCTCTAGGTTTTCAAATTAGTTAGAGTACAGTTTTTCACAGTATTCTGTTATGATTCTTTTAATTTCTGTTGGGTCTGTTGTGGTATCACCCATCTCATTTTCTATATGGCTTATTTGCTTCCTGTCTTGTTTTTCTTTTGTCAGTTTGGCTGGTGGTTTTGAGCCTATTTCTTCACCCCAGAAATGAGAGGGTTGAACGAAATGATCTGTAAATTACTTTTCATTTTGTAGTTGTTCTTTTAAAATTATAAAAGTAGTATGACCTCATTGTAAAAAATTAACCTCCTACATCGTTCCCTTTCCTCCTCAAAGGTATGGCTGTTAAAAATTTCCAAATTGTTACTTACACATTTATAAACATATAGTTTCTTGGAAAACATAATTGTATATATTATTCAGCAACTTCCTTTTTTCACTTATTAAAAACAACATATTGAACATTTTTTCATGTCAGTGTGTATAGTTGTATTTCATTCTTTTCATATGACTGTAGTGTAATTAAGGTCCCTTTAGCTTCTTCAGTAGCCTATAATTCTATTTTTCTAAGAACTTTATAATTTCAGAGATGCTTTATTTTTTTTCTTACTTATCTCCAGTCATCATTGTTAACCAAATTTGAGTCACAGACAATTTATTGAGCACTTTTCTCCATGCCAGGCTCTGTGTTTATATGAGGAAGACATGATTCCTTCCCTCAAGAAGTTGTAATTTGTGGTCTCCATGTTCCATAGTCAGAGTTCTGTAGATATAGATCCCGCTCTGGGAAATAAGCAAATATTTAAATAAACCCAAGGTAGAGTTCTGTAATACTAATCCTTTATCATTTTTTTCTTTGATTTAAAATTTTAATGTTATTCTTTTTTAAAGTAGACATACCTATATCTTTAATTCAGTGTAAGCTGATGGCTTTACCTATTTTTGAGATGTAAATATGATAAATAAGATGTAGAAAATATCCTGATTTTTTTGTAAAAAACAAATTTGTTTACAGCTATTTATGCCATATTACTTGGTGCTAAACCAAGATGTTGTTAGAAGACAAACTAAATTTAGCATATAGTTTCTCTTCTTGAAGTTCTTATAATTTTATATGCATTACGGTTTTGTCTTAAGAAATATAGAGTACACACTCGTTGAATTTTCAAACAATACAGAAGTACGTAAAGTAAAAAGTGAAAGTTCTTCCCCTCCTCCTTAAAGGAAGCCACTGCTCCTTTTTCTATGGATATACAAATATAAAAAATAGCTCATATATGTTGTTTGACAATTCGCCTTTTTTCTGTTGTCAGCACATACAGATCTACCACATTCTTTTTCACAGCTGCATGCTATTCCAGAATATAGAACGTATGTACCATAATTTAATTAACCATTACTTATTTGTGCCCATTTAAATTATCTTTAGTTTTTCTGTCTAGTAAGGAAAGGTGCAGTAAGTATCTTTTTACTTATATCTTTGAATATGTCTGTGAGTAGTTGTGTCAGAATTCTGGAAGTGTGGTTGTTGATTCAGAGGCTATATACACTTTACATTTTGATAGGTATTGCCAGATTGTACCCCAAAGATAATTATACTAATTTGTGCTCGCACTAATAGTATATGATGGCTCTTTTCTGTGTACCTTTGACAACTGGATTGTCATTTTTTTTTTATTTTGCCAATTTAAAAGGTGAAAAACAAACAGCGTCTTATTTGCATTTCCAAGATGACTAGTGAAATTGCACCTCTTTTCATGAGTTTATTAGATATTTGTATTTTTTCTGTGACTTGCCTGTTTGTAGTCCTTGCACTGTTTTTCTATTGAGTTGTTTTGAAAGCCCTCCACTACCACCTCAGTTTATTTAAATAATTTTTTATGTACTTTAGAAATAATGCTTGTATTGTACCCTTCATGAATTTAATACATATATGGAAAAGAACAAAATGGGGGGTATAGGTCAAAAAGATGTCAAAGAATCTCAGATTTTAAATATAGGCAGTCCCCTATTTACGATATATTTGAGTTACGACGAACCTGCACTTAAACAGCTGTCCTTTTTTTTTTTGTGCATCTTATCATTAGTAATTATGTGCTACATACAATGTTGGAGCATGTAATTTGCTGATGTTATCATTCTTATGCCAATTCCTAAAGACAAATAAAGATCAGATTTATAATGATACTGATAATAAAAGGCAATAATAATGAAAACTTAAAAAAAAAATGAGGTATTCAACTTACATCAGAACCAACTTACAGTGGCGTCTTTGGAACGGAACCCCATCGTAAGTCAGGGATTATCTGTAATTGTTGCTGACATTTGTTAAAATATGTATAGCTAAGATTTTCCTTTGTTAATTTTATAGGAGGAAATAGCAGAAATGTTCAACTAGTTTGCTCTGAAAATCACCCTGATTCTAAGGATAATCCTAAAAATACTAAAAAGAATCCTACAGATCTTCCCAAATGTGATACTGGCTGTGTTGAGACCTTGTTTGGCCTTAAGAACATTTTTTCCCCATCCGAAGACGTATTTTCATTTTTAAAGGTATTTTTAATGTCTAGTTTGGAATGTTAAATTTGTTCTTTTTTGTCTTCTGAACACCTCTTTTAGATCATAAGGTTAACTGAAATTTGCCTATGATTTTTATAGGCTTTAAATTTCTGATTTTAACACATTCTACTACTTTGAGAAATGATACATAGACATTGCTCTAAATGCATGTTACTGGACTTAGAATATAATTTAGAAATATTTCAAATAAAAAAGTAAATTTCAGAAAAGTAATTTTTTAAAAAAATGAGCTTCTAATTATTGGATGGAAGTCTATACTAAATGTTGTTGTTCGGGGCCATTGAGTTGGTGCCAACTCCTGTGTATAACAGATCAAAATCTTGCCCAGTCCTGCGCCATCTTCAGTATTTAGGGAATTTAAATTCTTCAAACTAATAGTGTAAATTAATTTTTAAAGCTTATATACTATTTTGATGTATAAAGGAGTGTATGTTAATAAAATTATGAGGCAAAGTGACTCAGTATTTTGAATATAGAATAGGGATTCTTATTCATATTGATAGAAAAATGATCAAACTAAAGTACTGTTGTAACATTTTTAATTAAAATTATTTTTCAGCACAAAATCACAACAAAGGAAGAATGGCATAAACTCATCCAGCTTCTCACAGAATTCCAAACACGGAATGTAGATTTTTTATACAGTAATCTTGAATTTATTCTACCATTACCAGTTGATATCATTCCAGAAACAAAAAACCTCTGTGGCTTTTCAGCAACTGTGGGTGCCAGTCCAGCAATGAAAAGTATGCGATGTCTTGCTAGGAACCATTCTGAAGGAGAGCAGCCATCAAAAAAGTCACAAAAAAGGAAACATAAGAAAAAGATGGTCATACTAGACGATAGTGACTTATTTGACACCGATTTGGACTTTTCTCATGAATTTATTAGCCAATCCTCTACCTCTTTTTCAAGTTCAGAAGAAAGCAAAGCCAGAGACAAACAAAGCACACAGGAGACAAAGAAACCAAACAAATGCTTGGAATCTAACATTGATTCTATTCCTCATCCTCCGAAAACACCAGCTGAAAAAAAATGTTCTGCCCTTGTTTCTCATTGTTTAAATTCCCTCACTGAGTTCATGGATAACATGTCCTTCTTAGATGCTCTTTTAACCAATGTAAAGGAACAAAAAGGCTTTGGTAAAAATGACTTTAGTTGGACTAATGGAAAGGTTAAAAATGGACTTTGTGATGAGTTTAGTCTTGAAAGTAGTGACGGCTGGCCTTCTCAATGCTCTGGAGAATTAAAGGCAGTTGTAGAAGCTCTCAGCTTTACTAAGTGCTCTTCTGATATTTCAAAAGCATTGGAAACCTCTTTGAATTCTTGCAAAAGATTAGGAAGAGATCCAACCAAAGATCTTACTCTTTATGTTTCACAACAGCGTAACGACATATACTTTAGTCAGTCAGTGGCTAATTTAGAGTAAGTCTTCTTTTTACTTTATATTTCAATAATAAATGGTAACAGGGAAATGATTTAGAGTTTCTTTCATTTCTACTAATTTTGAAATGCTGGCCTTTATTGATCTTGGTAAGACCTCAGTATTAATAATGTAACTTCTAGTGAGACAACAAGGAGACTAGTTTGCTGGGAAGAGAAATAATGAGATCAGGGTGGGCTAGATTTTGGAGACTCTTGAATGATAGGGAGAGAGGTTTAGACTTGCTGTGGCAGATAGGGGGCAGTCACTGAAGATTTTTTAGTAGTATGGGAGTGAGTGATGTGTTGAAAGCGATAGATGAATATGGAAGTGCTGTCTAGTCTAGACCAGAGGAAGGAAGACTGGTTGTTTTTTTAGCATTTCACATTTTAAAATAAAGTATTGCATTTCTTTTAATTTACAGCAATGCATGGAAGAGAATAGCAGTCATTAAAAACGTATTTTCTAGTCGATCTCTTCTGAACCTGGGTAATAGACAAGCTGGTATAATTGAATACTTGCCAACTCTTCGAAACATTTGTAGGACTGAGAAGCTAAAAGAACAAGGAAAAAGTAAAAGAAGGTAAAGTTTCCTTAAAAAATAACATTATAGATAGCTGTTTCAAGATTGTTTGCATCAGATGAAAATAGTAATATTGTATTTTTCCTTGTTATTTTGATAGGTTCCTGCATTATTTTGAAGGAATTCATCTTGACATTCCTAAAGAGACAATGAACACTTTGGCAGCTGACTTCCCTTAATATTCCATGTCAACGATGCCTTGTACAGATTATTATGTGGTTCTTAATATACATTTTTATATTATGTTGATTTTTGTGGAAGAGCTATGTCTCTTTAATGTACATTTAAAACAGACTAATTGTATATTTCTTTATTAGTGTGCAAATATTTAAAATGAAAAAATTTGAGTTACCTATTGCATATATGATTGTGGTATTTTCTTTTGGAATTTTTTGTATTATCTGATTTAACTTTGCTGGAGTATTTTTATATGTGAGTGAGCTGTTTCTAGAAGGTACAGTTCACTAAGATATTTCAGTGCTAAACTAATTTTCTCTCCAAGTATTGGTGCTCTGTTGAATTGTAAATATGAATCACCTAGATGGCAACCTTTTTTAAAATAAGTTTACAAAATACAAAATTACATATATAATACATAAGGAAACTTCCTATGACGAAAATTATGCTTGTTTTTCAAAAACGATCTTCCGGGTAAATTTTTTAGTATACTCCTCTAGCATATTTTACCATTGAATCATTGACTGTAGACAAAGTGAAATCAAGATTTTGAATTATAATTTTCATAAATATTTTTTAGCAACCATACAGGTGATCTCTTGTATATTTTGCCAACTCAAATAATTTGCCTTGTACATTTTCTTGTATTTTTATATCATTCATGTTTTATTTCACAGATACTGATGATGTTAATATATCTATCTTGGACAAACTGCTATTCATTAAAACTAACAAAAGAGGATTCTACTATAGGATTTCTACATAATTGCCATTTTCACTTAGGACTGTTTTTGGAAAATATATATTTTTTTAATTAGAAGATTTTAAAATGTCACATTTCACTTAAAATTTTGCAATCAGATAATCAGGTGTATGTTAAAATAATTCCCTATTTCAAGTGTTTGTTTATATTATATATTAGCTTAATATTCAGATATGTTATCTGGTGAATTATATTTTTCACTCAAAAGGTAAGGATCCTAATTTTGTACGGTTTTGAAAAATATCTTACCTGTTTTCAGATGTGTATGAAGATGTTTTTATCTTATTTGTCCACCCTACTTTTTTTTGTATTAATTAGTATATTGATCTAATTAAAGACTAAAGCTAAAAGGCTTTATACAGTATTTAAATAGGAGTTCTGCTGTAGTCATCTGGGTAAATCTGTATACTTTTTAGGTTTGAATATGGGCTCTCTATCTCATAAGTTTCATCCCTATACAGGAAAGAGAATCTTCTGAAGTGTATTTTTTCAAGTATACTGACTTATTTTTTTCTACTGAATACAAGAGTTCCTCCACCTATAGACCACTTAACTGTTAATTTGGTCTTTTTTTATTAGAAATTTCTGATCATTCTCAATAATTGAGGAGCCAAAGTAACGTAACTCCATAGAATTAATAATTAAACTATCAAAAATCAAGAAATAATGGAGGTATTTTTCTCACTAACGGGACACACTTAATATTTTATTTTTTAGGTTTAATATAATTTTGGGGCGGGAATATCATTCTTAAAGGTGACAAATTGCTGTAATACTTAGATTCACTTTTATGATAAAAGTAACCAAATCTTGATGCCCTAGTATTTCATATCTTATCCTATAAATGTCTACAGCTGACAAATTTTCACTTACAGTTCTTTCCAGAAATATGTGGGAGGTTGAATGCCACATTTGTGGCATGAACAACTGGATGGTTGGTGAACCTATTTACCAAAATAGAAAATAATAGCAAGGGAGGTGATTTTGGAGGGAGAGAAAATGATTTCCTTTTCAGACGAGTTTGAGATACCTACAACATATCCAAGGTGGAAATGTTTATGTATATACACTGTATGTACAAACTTACATGTGCATGATGACACATCTGAAGTTATACTAAACTCCTAGCGACTTGGAGGTGATGGTGAAGGGAGAAATTCTATTTATTACTTTATACCCATTGCCTTCAATTCCAACTCATAGCGACCCTGTAGGACAGAGTAGAACTGCCCAAAAGGGTTTCCAAGGCTGTAATCTTTATGGAAATAGACTGCCACATCTTTCTCCTGGAGCAGCTGGTGGGTTCAAACCACCAACCTTCTGGTAAGCAGACGAGTGCTTTAACCACTGCACCATCAGGGCTCCTTGAATGAACTCATTAAAAAAACCTATTCCCGTCGAGTCGATTCCAACTCATAGCAACACTGGAGGACAGAGCAGAACTGCCCCATAGGGTTTCCAAGGAGCAGCTGGTGGATTCTAACTGCCAACTTTTTGGTTAGCAGTTGATCTCTTAATCACTGTGCCACCAGGCCTCCAAGTCTTACTTTATATACCTCTCATTATTTGAATTTTTCCCAACAAGCATATTTTACTTCTAAAGAAATAAATTTTGATGCTCTGGCAATTAAAGAGATTTATTTGGGTTCAATTCCTAGCTTTGTTGCTTTTCAACTATAATCTCTAAACTATAAAACCTCATATATAAAAGAGGTGATGTCATAATACATGGAAGTACCTGGCATGTAATTAGCTATATTAACTATTACTGTTATTACATTACCATTGCTATTATTATTACCACCAGAGGGGAAATAACCTAGTGCCACCCTTATGCTGTATAACATAACATTCTAAGCCCTAGTAGGGTTTTGAACAGTGAAGTGATACCAGATTTTTACTCTTGTAGCAGTATAAAGTATCGACTGGAGGAATGAAAACAGAGGCTGAGAGACCACTTACAAGAATATTCTAATAGTACAGATGAGATCTATATAATGAGGGCCTGAACTAAGGCAGACATAATGGAAAATGGAGAGGTGTGGAAAAAAATTAACTGCTACTTTTAGCAAAAGATGGTCTGTCAAGTAAGATATTTCAAAGTTAAAAAAAAAAAAAAAACCAATTAGACAAAGTTTTTTCCGGGTTTGATAAGACTGTTGTTAGGTTGCATCGAGTCACTTCCGACTCATAGCGACCCTACGTACAACAGAACGAAACACTGCCTGGTCCTGCGTCATCCTCACAATTGTTGTTAAGCTCGAGCCCACTGTTGCAGCCACTGTGTCAATCCATCTACTTGAGGGTCTTCCTCTTTTTTACTGACCCTCCACTTTACCAAGCATGATGTCCTTCTCCAGGGACTGATCCCTCCTGATAACACGTCTAAAGTATGTGAGATGTAGTCCTGCCATCCTTGCTTCTAAAGAGCATTCTGGCTGTGCTTCTTCCAAGACAGATTTGTTCGTTATTTTGGCAGTCCATGGTATATCCAGTATTCTTCGCAGACACCATAATTCAAAGGCTCAATTCTTCAGTCTTCCATATTCTTCGTCCAGCTTTCACATGCATGTATGAGGTGACTGAAAATACCATGGCTTAGGTCAGGGGCACCTTAGTCTTCAAGGTGACATCTTTGCTTTTTGATACTTTAAAAGAGATCTTTTGCAGCAGATTTGCCCAATGCAATGCTAAGACAGACTAGGAAGAAGGACCTAGCGGTTTACATCTAAAAAGAACTAGCCAGTGAAAACTCTTATGAATAGCAGCAGAACACTGTCTGATATAGTACTGGAAGATGAGCCCCTCAGGTCAGAAGGCACTCAAAATATGACCAGGAAAGAGCTGCCTCCTCAAAGAAGAGTCGACTTTAATGACATAGATGGATGGAGTCAAAATATGACCAGGAAAGAGCTGCCTCCTCAAAGAAGAGTCGACCTTAATGACATAGATGGAGTCATGCTTTCAGGACCTTCATTTGCTGATGTGGCAAGACTCAGAATGAGAAGAAACAGCTGTAAACATCCATTAATAATCAGAACATGGAAGTATGAAGTATGAATCTAGAAAGATTGGAAATCATCAAAAATGAAATGGAATGCATAAACATCAATACCCTAGGCATTAGTGAGCTGAAATGGACTGGTATTGGCCATTCTGAATCAGATAATCATATGGTCTGCTATGCCAGGAATAACAACTTGAACGGCATTTCATTCACCGTCAAAAAGAACATTTCAAGATCTATCCTGAAGTACAATGCTATCAGTGATAGGATAATACCCATATGCCTACAAGGAAGACCAGTTAACACAACTATTATTCAAATTTGTGCACCAATCACTAAGGCCAAAGATGAAGAAATTGAAGATTTTTACCAACTTCTGCAGTCTGAAATTGATTGAACACGCAATCAGGATATATTGATAATTACTGGTGATTGGAGTGCGAAAGATGGAAACAAAGAAAGATCGGGAGTTGGAAAATATGGCTTTAGTGATAGAAACAATGCCGAAGATCACATGATAGAATTCTGCAAAACCAGTGACTTCTTTACTGATAGACTGAGCTGATGAAAATCACCTTTTGAAGATGATTCCGTAAGTTAGGTTATCAATCACCTTTCAATATAGTAATGATGTAACTCTTCAGTATAGATGGTATTTGCTTTTAAGAGGTGAGAACTTTGTTTCTTGTTTCAGCTCTTTAGGGAGCATTTTATTGTTTAACACTTAAACCTAAAAGGCACAGACTCTCAAAAAATATTTATTGACTTGGTCTTGGCTTAGCATTATTGTATATACCACTCAATAGCCTGAAGTCTGACTTTAAACATCTAAAATACACTCAAATTTGTTTTCTCATGCATTAATACAGATGTTCAAAAACAATTTGTTTTACAGCTTTAGAGGTAATAAATATAAATTAATATAACATTAGAGCAGATGATACATTAACCTCATAATTTTAAGGCTCAGTGTCAAAAACTGCTAATTCATAGAAGGCAATAGCTTGTAATAATGAATCATATAACTCTTCTACTCTGTTTTGTTCAGTAGATGAAATCATCTGTCTGTACTGGACTACCTTATCCGATGGGAAGAATACTCGAGGCTCTGCCTTCAGCACAGACTCTGAGAGAAACTGCTTCACTAGTTCTTTTCCACTAGTCCTCGTGTCGCCGATCATTAGTTCAAAGTGCTTCCCCACGGCATTTCGGTTCATGCTCAGCACCTGGTGCTGGCCGTCCTGGGCAAATGTTTTATTTAATAAGGTATACAGCATGGCTTCCACAATATGAAAATGCAACAGTATAGGAAACAGCGATGAGTTCTGAATTGGAAGTCCTGTTTTTTCCAGTATATAGAAATCGGCTTTAGGCATCTTTGAAACAACTAAAGACATCTTTAGGGAAAAAAAAAGGAAATAAATAAATGAGCAGAAATAATTCATGAAGTTTTAATGTTGGGGTCCCCTCTCTATTTAGAAATATTATAATTATGTAATTTATATTGCTACTGACAATATTGGAATAACTGAAAAAACACTGTATGGAGGAGTCAGGAGAGTGAACTTCTGGTCTTGGTTCTATCAGGAACAAGCTGAGCTCAGGCAAGCTGTTTAGTCCCCCTAAGCACCAATTTCTTCACCTGTAAAATAGCCTTAATAATTTCTAAAATCCATTTTTGCTTTAAGATTAGATAACAACTGATTCATTAATCTTTTAAAAATTTCTAGCATAGGGTTAGAACTAGCATAGAATCAATCGGCTCTACAACTGATTAATCATGTCAGAGGACCGACTGAACCACAGTTTTCATGTGTATGTATAGTCAGGATGATAATTCCTGCCCATTTCATAAGGTTTTAAAGACTCACATGAGAATATATGTGACAGCATTTTGAAAAATTAAGTTTATAAATACAAGATAGTGATGATGTTCTAAACCATTTATAATAGTATACTTTACCATAGAACTAAGTGAAGAAAGACTGAATGTAAAAAGATCCCACGTGATGAGTACTAAGTACCAAAAGAAAATCCACCCTCACTCCCTTACTACATTCTTGTGGGACTAGAAGACTGAACTACATGAGGAGCTCCAGGAGACAGGAGTTTGGAGGTGCAACTGTCTTACCTCTTCTAAATACACAGATGACAGGTATGTTCCTTTCATCATCCTGCAACGTTCATCCTGCTGCCAGTCAAGCACTGCCATTTTACGATCAAGGTGAGCCCAGGCAATTCTCCGAGTACCAAAAACAATAGATACGATACTATTAAGTGCCTAAAACAAAAAGGCTGGTTTAATTAGGAGTGTAAACATTTTAACAGACAAAGTAAGCTACCATCTCAGAATGCCTAACCAGTTTATGTAATATAAATGTATCTGCAGTTTATGAACTGAGAATTGTTTTTTTAAAATGCAGGAGTAATTATTACTAAAAAGTAACCAGTAGGAGTCAGTTTACTGACAAAAAACCTTTACTCATTCTCAGCACCTAGCCCAAAGTAGGCATTCAAATATTCAAATGTTGCTGGGGACTGTGCTAGATAATGGGAGACAAGCAACATAACCATACATTACAAGAAATGCTATCATACAACAGTTACTGTAGAGAGGGGGAATGGTCAGGCAAGACTTATTGGAGGACTAGGAGAATGAGTAAAATGGTAAACAGCTTATTTCACCCAGATGTCTGCAAAGATACAGGCTGCTTGACACCTCACAGTAAGGCAATAAAGGCTGTAACTGGGAAAAGGGCAGAGAGGTAGGCAGATTTCTGCAAAGTTAAGTAACTTCTTTTGTCCTCAGAGCTACAAGGAGCCAAGGCATGTTACACTGGGTAGTAAGATAAAATTTACATTTCAGAAAGATGACTGGCAGTTGTGTGGAAGGAGCTAGACCAGAGCTGGGGATTTGTGTTAGGCACTTGCTGTAACATGTGACAAAGTATTACGAACCTAAGACAGTAACAATGATGAAGGAAAGAAGCAGATAATGGGAGTAGAAGTGATATTCAGGGGTGAGGGAGGAGCCTTGGATAACTCTAGTTTGATTTCCATGATTGGTTGGCATAATTCAGATGATGATAAGAGGTAGGTCAACTTGGGAAGGTAGGGGGGGATGAGTTGTTTTTAAATATGTTGAGTTCAGGTTGCCTATAGCGCTTCTAGGTCCCTGGGTGGTACAAGCAGTTTGTCCTTTACTACAAACCAAAAGGTTGGTGGTTTGAACCCACCCAGTCGTGCCATGGAAGAAAGGCCTAGCAATCTGCAAAGATTACAGCCAAGAAAACCCTAAGGAGCAGTTCTACTCTGTAACACATGGAGTTGCCATAAGTCAGAATTAACTTGAGGGCAATGGGTTGGTTTTTGGTTTTACAGGACTAAAGGAAGATGTGTAATAGCTAACCAGATATGTGGGTCTCTCTCAGAGGGAAGTCTGGGCTGGAGGTACAGTACAGTGGCATCAACTCATTCCCATGACTCATTTAGTTGTATCAACAAATAAATTACTAATATGTTCTGTAGATACAGAGGCAGTGAAACAAACATTTTATAATTGTATACCCATCTCCCTTTCACTGCTAAGGATTAGATAAATACCTTAAAGGCAGAATAGTTTGGATACCCAGACATCTACAAAATACAAGCCTGTCGGTTCCTTTCTTCAGCTTAACGATTCTCAAGCTTTAGCGTGCATAAGAATTACTATAACAGGTTGTACACAAAACCATGTACACAGTACCTCATGGGCAATAGATTTTTTAAGGATTTGGACTACAGTTTTCTCCACACAAACTGATTTTAGAATCTAACCCCCTAAATAAGATGCAACTCCACTATAATCTGAGTGTAAGTAATAATGTTAGCCATACGTATGGATGAAAATCATCCCTGGAAATTTTGGTTCAAATATGTTCCAGATCAACTCCAGCAGGACTTCCATCCAGAGTCCACGGATAGAAGTAAAGAAATATACAAGTCTTCTCAACGTACATGCAAAATTCTGTGTATATGCTATAAATCTCTTTTCTGCAAAGAGCAGCCATAGCTTTCATAAGGTTTTTAAAAAGTATCCATATTTCCCAAAAGCTACTAACTCAGAGAATCACTGGTCCAGAAAAAATAGTGATTATTATTTTAATGTGCATTAGATGGTTTACAGAGCAAATGAGTTTCTCATAAAACAATTAATACACATACTGTTTTGTGACATTCATTGCCAACCCCACAACATGTCAACACTCTCCCCTTCTTGACCTTGGGTTCCCCATTACCAGCTTTCCTGTCCCCTCCTGCCTTCTAGTCCTTGTCCCTGGGTTGGTGTGCCCATTTAGTCTCATTCTGTTTTATGTGCCTGTTTAATCTTTGGCTGAAGGGTAAACCTTAGGAGTGACTTCAGTACTGAGTTAAAAAGGTGTCTGGGGGCCATACTTTCAGGGTTTCTCCAGTCTCTGTCAGACCAGTAAGGCTAATTTTTTTTTGTGAATCAGAATTTTGTTCTACATTTTTCTCCAGCTCTGTCTGGGACCCTTTAATAGGATCCCTGTCAGAGCAGTCGGTGGTGGTAGCCGGGTACCATCCAGTTGTGCTGCACTCTGTCTGGTGGAAGCTGTGGTAGTTGTGGTCCATTAGTCTTTTGGACTAATCTTTCCCTTGTGTCTTTGGTTTTCTTCATTCTCCCTCACTCCAGACAGGGTGAGACCAGTAGAGTATCTTAGATGGTCGCTCATGAGCTTTTAAGATCCCAGCTGCTACTTGCCAAAGTAGAATGCAGAACATTTTCTTTATAAACTATGTTATGCCAACTGGGCTCGATGTCTATGGAGACCATGGTCCCCACAGCCCTCAGCACAGTAATTAGGTCCCTCAGGGAGTTTGGATGAGTCTATGAAGCTTCTACGACCGTGCCTTGGTCAAGCTGTGCTGGCTTCCCCACTATTGTGTACTGTCGTACCCTTCAAAAATGGTGCTTATTATAAAAGACTATTTTATCAAGTAATGCTAAACAGGACTTAAGTTCCTGCAAGGTTTAATGCTAGACTGATATGCCCAGTAATTTTAATATTTAGTTTTTTCAGACAACACTGAAAAAGATTTGTTTTTATAACTTTTTTTAAAGGAGGAAGGGAGGTCAGAAAATAATTTTGAATCCTGCTGGAAAAGTTAATAATAATGTTTTAAGTCTCTCAAAAAAAAAAAAAAAAAAAAAAAAACTACTTGTGTTGTTACAAATTGTTCATAATCATGATTTAACATATTGTCTAATCATAGATAAAATCCAAACTTCTTGGCTATAACCCATCTTTGCATCTTAGTTTCTCATTACTCCCCAACATAACCCTCAAATACGGCCAGGTATCTCCCAACATTCCTCTTAAATAAACCTTTTGCACAGACATACTTCTGGACACCAACTGTTCTTTCTACCTAGATGTCCTCTTCCAACTAGCCTAATTCTCTTCTTCAAGATCCAAGTTAACTTCTTCCAGTAAACCTTTCCAACCATAATAACCCACAGTTCTCTATCCTCTAAACTAATATGCTACTCATATATCTTATTATTAGTAGTGATCATAGGATATATACTCGTTGGATTTGAACTGCCAACCTTTTGGTTAGCAGCCGAGTTCTTAACCACTACACTACTGGGACTCCGTAGGTTATATAGGTTACTTATTTACCTAATGGACTTGGAATCCACGAGCCGCTCCTTGGAAACCCTACGGGGCAGTTCTTCGCTGTCCTACAGGGGGTTGCTATGAGTCAGAATTGACTCGATGGCAACCGGTTTGGGTTTTTTTTTTTTTTCTGTATTTACCTAATATGATATAATAGGTTATTTACACGTGCATGTAGGGACTCACCAACTAAACTATAAGCTGCCTGAAGAACCCTATCTTGGTAACTCCCCAAGCCGATGCCCACAATAGTGCTTTGCAGTGTAGGTTCTAAAATATTTGGCCAATGTAACAGATATTAGGAAAAATGGTATACCTTAAGTCTCTCTCTTCCTATGTCAGGTTTGATGAGCTTTCCCAAGAGCCGGTTTTCCTGTAATTTTCTTTTTTTCTTTTTAGTCTCTGGAAAAAGAATGGAGTTACAAACTTGAATGGTAGTTTTATACTGGAATAAGGGTACATTCATTAAACTCTCCAAATTCTGAAATGGCCCAAACTTTTCTCTGTGCTCTACAATATTGGTGGCCTTTCTTCCACGAAGCAATTTGAAAGCTTCAAGTTCTTTATTTGATGCCGTGTTTAACACACGCAAGATGGAAGCCTGCTGCTCCGAAGAGAAGAACTTGTCAAGCGCATTTCCAGACTCCTTTGTATTTTCACCACAAAAAGCAACATTGGGAATAATTTTCGTAGGTGCAGTTGATTTTTCCCGACAGCAGGAACTATGTAGGGCTTGGAATAGGGATGACCTCAATGGAGCTGGACAGCATCTCCACCTTACTGAAAGAAAAACGTAGTAAAATATAAGTTCAGATGTCCTAATTCCTTTTAGTATTTGCAGACTTACCAGATCCTTTGCAAAGTGACAAAGACTTTCCCATAGTTTAAGAACTAGTGGGCCATATTAAATTCTGGAAAATCATCTTTAAAATAGGTTTAGTTTTTAAAACTATATATATTTAAAATAGGGGTTTTTTTGTTTAGTCGCTAGAGGTGTCTTCTAATTTTTATGGATCAGTCCTAAATTATACTACCTAAAAATTTTATGCCCATTTAGAGGCACGTAGTTTAAAAAAATGATTTCAACGGCTTAGCGTTTTTGATAGCATTTTTAACGTTAGATCTTTTTGTAATTAATATCTCTTGTTAAGAATATTTATCTTCACTTCCTTTCTCACTACAGCTTCTTTCTCGTCTGTGGGACCAAATACAATTAAAGTTTACACGTTTATAAAAAGGAGCCCTGGTGGCGCAGTGGTTAAAGAGCTCAGCAGATAACCGGAAGGTTGGCGGTTCAAACCCACCAGCCCACTTCGCGGGAGAAAGTTGTGGCCGTCTGCTTCCTTTAAAGATGTACAGCTTTGGGAACCCTACCGGGTAGTTCTACTCCCTTTATAAGGAATGTTTAGAATGTTAATGAGCGGTATATTTAAGAGCGGTTCTTCTTTTGTACACTTTTCAAATTTTCTACCATGAATGTATTTTTGCAAGAAGAAAAGCCATATAAGCAGTTATTTTGTAAAACTAATGGGAAGTCACTGTGACACCTCAGTCCCAGGAAAGTTATGCAGCCAGAGATAAGCAAACGGCGGTTAGAATCTAAAGCCTCCGTCCGCCGGCCAGCCCGGGAAGGAGCCTTCCACGGACCTCTCGCCCAGGCAAGCACAACTCTTCGAGGCTCGGGAACCGAAGCTAGACCTCCAAAAGGGCAACATGGAGAGTGGATCCTGAGGGAGAAAGCAGTCTAGAACTAGGGACTAAGGGCAGACGGAAAATTAACCCAGCATTCAAGGAACCCTACCTCCCGCCAAGAGAAGACTAGGAAAGTTCATCTTGCAAGTTAAATCAGATCCCGCGGTCCTTTCGCCTCTATTGACTTCCGGTCCCTGTGAGACGCCCAAATGTGCTCGGGCGGGAATCGGCAAAAAGGTTCCGGCTGAAACCGCGTTCCCCGGTTGGTCGAAAGTGCGTCCGGCTGAGCAGTGGGTCCGCCGCGGCTCGGCTACCGGCCTTCAAACCCGTACTTCTGGGTGGCCCGCGGGCTTGTTCCACTGCATCGAGGGAAATGTTCGCCCCGACCAGTCCCTGACAGTAGCTGGGCAGGTGAGGGTGGAAGCGGCTCGCCCAAGTCTTTCGGAAGGAAACGCCTAGACTAATTTTCGTCAGTAGTTCGCAAGGTTCCGCTCCTTGGGGGATACTCCCTGAGTTTATTCTAGGCACACAGATTGATGAGCTCCCTTTGGGGCCCGGGCTGGGGCGCAAGGAGCGGAGTCAGGTGGAGGAGCAGAGACAAGTACACAAATAACCCTGTCACTGAGTAGGATGGGATAGCTGGGAGGGATGCAAAGTGTTTCAGGAGCTCAGCCGGGAAATAGTGTGCAGGCAGAGGGGTCAGGGCAGGACAGCGTAGGAAGAGGTGGCATTGGCGCTGGGCCTTGAAGGTCAGAGAAGAGCAGTATTTCATTTGGAGTAGATGGAGGGAGATGAGGCTGGCATCAAATTTGGGTGGAGCTTTGGGCAATCCAAATTTGGAGCAGTTGACTTAACTAGGTAGCCCGAAGCCACCGAGACTTGAGTTAGAGGGTCAGACTGGAGCTGTGTTTCTAGAAAGTAGCCATGTAGCAATGTGAGGCTGGGTTGGAGGTTAAGAGCCTGGGAGCAAGGAGAGGCGAGGAAAGCTAATGCACCTTTTTAAGGGAGAGGCAATGGAAAAGAATTGAACCTGGAAGATGTAAGGAAAGTGGAAAGAAAGGGATTCTTTCTGGAAGATGGAGAGGCTTTATCTAGTGAGAAACAGGGAAGTCAGGAGAAAGTGGCTTTTGAAGAGAAGGGTGATGAGTTTGGGTTTATATGAGATGGTAGTGGGTGGATTGTCGGAGTGGGTGTTGTCTAGGAGGAAGTGGCAGATGTGGGGAATCGTTAAGTACTAATAAGGGTTACTTATGGGAATTCTAGGAATCTTGGCAGTTTCTGGGAAACTTAGAATCACATACGAAATAAAGTCAACTTTTTGTGCAAAATCCTTCAAATGAGGAGGAAATCATTTCCTTTTAAAGCCAAAACTTATTCAGCTTAATGAGGCCATGAGGAGCCCTGGCAGTGCTCTCAGAGATCATGTGGTTAGCGGGCAAAAAACGCAACACATCACTTACTAACTGCACCAACTTGGGCGGTTACTACTCATCCTCTCTGAACCTCAGCTTCCTCATCTGTGAAACGGACGTAATGGTACCTGCCTCGCAGGACTGCCGGGAGGGTTAGTGAGAAACTGGGTGCAGAGAACTCGGCACACAATACCCAAACCAGACCCACTGCCATGGAGTCAATTCTGACTCGTAGCGACTCCATAGGGCTTCCAAGGCTGTACATCTCTACTGAAGCAGACTGCCACATCTTTCTCCTGCCAAGTCGCTGGTTGTTTCAAAAACAAAACCCTTTGCCATCAAGACTCTGACTCATAGCGACCCTACAGGACAGAGTAGAACTGTCCCATAGGGTTTCCAAGGAGCGGCTGGTGGATTCTGACTGCTCACCTTTTGGTTAGCAGCCGACCTCTTAACCGCTGCACCACCAGGGCACATAATAAGGGGTCAATAAATGTGCCCACCCAGTGCCGTCAACAGACAGATGGTGCTGCTGCTTCAGAGTTCAGCCAGGCTCCGGAATGCAGGAGTGGATGGAAGCTAGAACATCTCTCTTTTTTTTTTAAATTGTGCTTTAAGGGAAAGTTTACAATTCAAGTCAGTTTCTCATACAAAAATTTATACACACATTGCCATGTGACCCTAGTTGCTCTCCCTATACGGTGACAGCACAGTCCTCCTTTCCATCCCGGATTTCCCGTGTCTGTTCAACCAGCTCCTAACCCTCTGCCTTCTCATCTCACCTCCGGACAGGAGCTGCCCATTAGTCTCATGTATCTGCTTGAGCTAAGAAGCACACTCCTCACAAGTATCACCTTATGTCCTATAGTCCAGTCTAATCTTTGTCTGAAGAGTTGGCCTCAGGAATGGTTTCAGCTCTGGGCCAACAGAGACTTCAGGGGCCATGTCTTCCAGGGTCCCTCCAGTAGAACATCTCTCACTTTGCCTTCAAAAACCAATTGCAGTCAAGTGGATTCTGACTCATGTGACCCCATATGTGTCAAGAGTAGGACTGTGCTCTATAGGGTTTTCAATGGCTGATTTTTTCAGAAATAGATTACCAGGCCTTTCTTCTGAGATGCCTCTGGGTGGACTTGAACCTCCAATCTTTCAGTTAGCAGCCAAGCACATTAACCATTTGCACCACCCAAAACCTGTTGCTGTGGAGTCCATTCCAACTGATAGCGATTCTGTAGGATAGAGTAGAACTGCCCCATAGGGTTTCCAAGGAGCAGCTGGTAGATTCAAACTGCCAACCTTTTGGTTAAACAGCCATAGCTCTTAACCACTGCACTACCAGGGCTCCATTTGTACCACCCAGGTCCCAATAAATATTAGTTCCTCCATTAAATCTTCACCTCTTTTTGGGAGCTAATTATTAATGACCTTGTGGGGAAATTCCCACAGTCCTCAGAGGAAAAGAGGCAATCAATGCATGATTTACTGTAAACCAGACTCTGTGTTCAGTATGAAAGTTGCTATCTTCCCCCAGAAACCAGCTCCTTCTGACTTCCTGGTTTTTGTCACACAGATGTAGAAGTCCCAGGCTCCTCCCACTCCTTGCTTCACTATGTCTAGCCTCTCATCTAGTTTCCGTCTTGTTAAAACTTTTTTTTGACTGTGACCATGGTCACATGATGTGACATGTATGTGTGAGACAAAAGCTTCATAAAATAATACTTGTGTTTTTACATACAATGCACCCCGATATTCTCTATTCTAGTTCTTTTTAAATCTCTCTGAACTTTTTTTTTTTGTTTAGTGAGAGAATAACTGTCTTTATTGTTTAAGTCACTTTTAGCTCAGTATTCTGGTACTCGGAGCTGATAACTTGCGAATTAATACACACACTCAGGAGACAAACCAGGGGTTTGATGTCCCACACACACATTCCATGCTGTCTCTCCTCTGCCTTTGCACATGTTGGTCCCTTTCCCTGGTATGCCCTCTCCCCCAAACAGACTGAATTCTGCTCACCTTTTAAGGGCTGATGCCTTTTAAAAGCCTGGGAAGCCTCCCTGTCTTCCAAGCCAGAAGTATACTCTCTCTCATTTCAAGCACTTTACTCGTATCTCCCTCGTAGCACATACTGTCTTAAATGTAAGGGTTTTGTTTTATTTTTCTTCTGATTACCATGTCTTTTCTTCTTTATTTGATTCCATCTATTTTCCCAAGGTGATCTGGAAGCTACCAACCAGACTATATCAAAATCCATTCTGGGTGTCTCAACATGCCTCCTGGAGACAGAGGAGCTCAAGGTTCAGTTAATCCTGTGTTTCAAACCTGTGTGCCAATCCCAGCTTACTAACAGTGTGAACTGGCGCAAGCTATGTCACCTCTCTGAGCCTCTTCAGCTCCCTCTAGAGTAGAGGTGGGATCCAGACCATAATTATATTCCCTACAGGAGCTCTCGTGGCATAGTGGTTAAGAGCTACGGCTGCTAACCAAAAGGTTGGCAGTTGGAATCCACCAGTCACTCCTCGGAAAGCCTATGGAGCAGTTCTAGTCTATCCTATAGGTTGCTATGAGTCAGATTTGTGTCGACGGCACAGGTTTTACAATGCCCAGCAAAGTGCCTGACACATATGAGGATTCATTGTTTGTTGAAAAAAGTGATCACATACAACAAATCCAAAAATTGATTATGTTTGGGAAAACCATTAAAAGTTAATTCTCAATGTTCTACATTCTACCTTGGTGAGTAGTGTCTGGGGTCTTAAAAGCCTGTGAGC